CTCCGCGGCATGTGGGATCTTCCCAGACCGGGGCACGAACCCGTGTCCCCTGCATCGGCAGGCGGACTCTCAACCACTGCGCCAGTTGCTCCCAGTTGCTCCCAGTTGCTACTTTTGAGGATGTCTCTAATGCTGCTACTGCCCTCCATGGAATGAGGGCATATCCTTGTTGGAGTCATATCTCTGTGAAATTAAGATGACATCTGTCCCATAGCTACATTTAAGATTCCACAAGACTGACAGAGTTGGGTTGACAGACACTGTTAAATTAGCAAAATCCACTTGCTAAGTGTTATGGACCAAATGTTTGTGTCCGCCCAGAATTCGTATGTTGAAGCCGCAATCCCCAATCTCATGGAGTTAGGATGTGGGGCCTTTGGGAGGTGATTAGGATTAGTTGAGGTCAGGAGGGTGGCGCCTCCATTATGGGATTAGTGTCCTTATAAGAAGAGGAAGACACCAAAGTTTCCTCGCACCACCAAGTGAGGACACAGCAAGAAGTTGCTGTCTGCGAACTCAGCAGAATGTGACCGTGACAGCACCTTGATCTTGGGATGCCAGCCTCCAGAACTATGGGAAATAAACATCTGTTGTTTAAACCACCCGTCTGTGGTATTCTGTTATAGCAGCCTGAGCTAAGTCACCAAGTAATGTCATTAAAGTAAAATTCCTCTTCTCTTGAGTTTTCAGTATCATATTAAAGGAAAACCATAATGAGTAAACCTTTCACCTCTTTATCCTTCAGTGAGTTCTTTTCATAACCCATCACTTCAACAACTGAAAGACACACACATTTGCAGACCTCTGCTGTGTGGACCTGGCTTAGGTTCCCCAGTCCAGCATTGAGGCACCATTGATTCAGGCCAGGAGGCCGAGGGGCGGGACTGGGCTCAGGGTGTCCCTCCTCAACCCTGCTCCGTGGGGTCCTCAGCAGCAGGTCTCCCTCCACCGTGGGACGGGCCGGAGCAGCAGTCCCATGGTTTGCTGGCTGCAGCTTCTCGGGGGAGAGTTTGCCTCTCAGGATTGGGGGCACAGCCTCAGAGCCCGAGGCCCGCTGTGTCCCTTGCGGCTCCAGGGGACAGGCGTCTGGGCGCCTCCCGAGGCCCCTCCCCAGCTGTTGTTAGCTGCAGGCCCGGTACCACAGATGGAGCTGTGAAAGAGGTGGGACCCCGAGCACCACAGAAGCCAGAGAGCAAATGTCACCGTCCAGCTGCACAGGCTTTCAGTCAGCTGAGTTCTGACGAGGGAAACGTCAGGAGGACAAGACGGTCCTGCCCTCGGAGAGGCCACCTCCTCGGGAAGTAAGCTGGACCCAGGGGGATGCACGATTCATTCTGAGTGAGTTCCCAGAACACAGTTTCTGGGGATGCAGGGAAATGACTGCTGGATGCACAGGTCCTGACAACTGCTAATTCCGTGCCCTGAGTGACCTACAGCCAAGTACTAATCCCCACACAAAGGCTCCTTTTAGACAAGAAGTTTGGTCACAGTTCCTGGCACGGATTCTGCTGCAAGATGTACTTTTCACCAATCAGAATTATAGTAACAAGAAAGTAAAGCGGAGGAGACCAATTCCACAAAATATAGAGGTCTGAGCAACAAGCCCTTTGGCTGTGAAGTGCCCTGACAGAAGTTGCCAGAAAGCACTGCAGGGCGCCCTCGAGAGTGTCCTTCACCGCAGCCGAGGCTTGCCTGTCCCCGTCACCAGGCTCACGGTCTGAGAAGTCCCGGTAACTGAACATCCCACCACACTGTCACCATCGGCTCCAGAACTGGCCATCTGCCTTCCCAGCTCTTCTGAGGAGCCCGGCAGTGTGTCCAAGGACGTGGGGTCTGGGACGCGCACCTGCCCCCAGGAAGCCGCACTCAGGCAGGCAGAGTGAGGGTAGAGGAGCAGAGAAGGTAGGAGGTGGTGTGTGGTGCTCCGTTCCTCGCCCCGGGCGTGCAGCTCTAGGAGCCACAAGTCATGACGCTTGTGTGTTCGTTCAGACAGGCCTGGTGGCCGAGCACAGAGCTCCCGCCGGTGGACTTGTCACACAGACACACAGTGAGGGGAGGTGTTTCTAGTCTCTTCTTTTCATGTGCTAGTTCTTTTCCTTTGAAGGCTGGCAAATAGCTCAGTTTCTGCACGACCGCGCTCTCTAAGGGGTGATTTTATTGCCACATGCGGGAACCGAGAATCCCTGGCGAGAAATTAGGCATTTGATACATTTCATGGCAATGCTCAGAGCATGACCTTCTGCTGCCCCGATAAGGTTTTCATATAAAACTGGTTCATGGTGGTCATTATACTAGTACCTCTTACTTTACACCTTATGTTTTTGCACACACCTTATGCTTTTGCACACATCTTAACTAGCCTCCATAAACAATCCTCTGGAGGGGGGCTTTATTTCCCCCATTTTGTGAAAGAGGAACCAGGGCTATGAGGACTTGTCACTCGCCATGGCTCACAAATCTGTAAGGTGCAGAGCTTTTCACCAGGGCAAGTGTTTATTAAGTGTTTTTAGGCAAACACAATTTCAAATTCATGGGTGAATAGTAAAAATACCAAAGACCTGTCCGTTTTTCATTGACGGGACGTATAAAGTCCTGATGTTATTCTCTGACAGGAATGTTAATGCACTTCCTCTTTGTCAAGGGTCCTCTTTTTGGTTAACGAATGGTTTCTCTTCTGTTCTATTGAACAAGCAGACTTCAACTGTTCTTTGTAAAACCAAGAAAATCACATATTTGACATCTTATATTATTACCATCATTTTAAAAAATTCTGTCCACTCCATACACTGCCTATATACATGATTGTGTTTACGGGACAGCTGAAAAGATACTGGTCCTCAGCAGAGCCTGGGGTCCTGTTTGCCACTTGGAGCATCCTTGGGGAGAAGCAAGCCTCTGGTCTTGGTTTAGCGCTGCACCACAAAGTTGTTGAGAATATTATTGATACTAAAAAGTAAAGCACTTTGTAAATGTTAAAGTCCTACGCAAATGTAAGAAATTGTTCATTATTGCCTAGAGTTAAAAGCTAAAGAAAGGATAGTTGCTTGCCCGAAGCAAAGGATTGGTTGAACTTATCTAAATACTGTATTTTTTAAGGATGAACGGGCCATATAAGAGTGAGGGGAGGGGGAGAGGTTGAGGGACATGCAGGTACCTGAGGAAGACAGAGGGGTGTGAGCACCGTTCCGTGCATCTCAGGAATGGTGCGCAGAGCTGTCTGGGGTTTAGCAAATGATTCTAGCAAATCCTAATTACCCCAGAGGCTTCCTTCAGAAGTGCCACAGAGACATAGGCGGCATGCTTTTCTAACCCATGACACAAAAACGGGTAGTACAGTTAATAACAGATGAGAGAATCGTGACTCAAAATTATTTTTGGTGTTGGAATTTGGGGGGTTTATGAGGCATTTTCACGTTAAGAATGGGAAGACTTGTTAAAAAGATCTGAGAAGTCGAGATGATTGAGAAGTCGAGATGCTTGAGAAGCAGAGCAGCTGCTGGTGGACAGCAGAGATGCTGGGCCAGGCCACCCAGCTTCAAGCCCCACTGCTGCCTGTTAGCTGTGACCAGGCTAGTTACCCCTGTGTTGTGCCTCGGTTTTCCTGTCCAGTCACAGGGTTGCTGTAGGGATGAAATGAGTTAACATGTGGGCTAGTGAATAGTGCTCCACACCTGGTCACACGCACGCAGGTACAGTTTACCAGGTATGTGGTCCTGGGCTGGTGGGGAGTGTCCCAGTGCCCCAGCCCCTTCACCTTCTCCTCAGTGCACTCCAGAGGGCACGTGCGGAGCCAGCTGCAGCCCCCGGCCCCTCCTCCGTGGGGTTTCGCAGGCCTTGGGGGCCATCTCCTTCTGCATGATCTCACCCGAGGCCTGTTTCACACTCCTGGCATCTCAGTGGGAGGGGGAGGGGCTGCCCTCCCGCACAGGACGCTGAGGATGGACCGACATAGAGTTTGGTTTTCAGAAATGCTGCGTTGCCATATCTGGAATCATGTAGGTGGACATTACACAATTGATTGGAAATGTCTAGTCCATACAAGCATTCGGCGAGACCCTGGCAGGCAGAGCAAAGGGAGGGGGCAAAAGCTCCAGGTGGAGCTTGTTAGGGCGAGGCGCGGGCAGGTAAGTCAGCCACGGTCAGGGGCGCGGAGAGACTAAGAGCCGGAGTCACAAACGCCACGGGATAGAAGAGAGGGTCTTGAGAAGACGGGAAGCAGAGAAAATGACGACTGACAAAGGGCCTGCGGCTGACGGCCCAGGTCAGGGGAAGGCTGGCAGGTCGTGCGGGGCCCAGGGCCCAGGGCCCGGGTCGCGGCCCGGGCCGGGGGTGGGGTCGCCAGCGCGGACTCCGGCCCGCAGGGAGACGGGCCCCTTCTCTGCAGACGATTCAGCCTCAACGGCGTTTATTTAATAAGATTTTTCGCGCTCACAAATGCAGAGGTGGCGTGAGCGCGCAAAGCGCAGACCCTCGCGCCCCCCTACCTTCCGTTCACCCCGCCAGCGGCCGCGACGCACGGCCCCCGAGACTCCCCGATCCTGAGAGCCCAGAGCCCCTGGCCTCCTCAGATCCTGAGTCCCCCAGGCCCTTCGAGATCCCAGACTCCCCGAGGCCCCCGGAGCCTTCCGAGCCCCTCTGACCACCCCGACACCCCGAGGCTCCCGAGACCCCTGATCCGGGCCGGGAGGGGATCGCGGCCGGGCCCTGGAGCCGGTGACCGTCGGGGGGAGCACAGGCCTCCAGGGAGGCCTCTCAGGACCCTCTCCTTTAGGGTCAGGGACTGAACGTCAAAACCGCTTCCTCCCCGCGGTCTTCCTCCCGCCCTCCGCACGCCCTCAGCCCCACCCCCGGCCCCGTGACCCCTCCTCCGGCCGGGCGGGGGCGCTGTGCGACGCCGAAGCCGGGCGGTGGGGGGGGAAACGTAGGGAGCGCCCGGAAGTGACGCAAAGCTAGCGGAAGTCCCGTCCACCTCGGCGGAAGTTCCTCCTACCCGCTGGCCCTCCCCTCTACCCACCCCGGCGGAAGTCCGGGCCGCCATCCCTCGTGGCTGATCGCAGGCATGGCGCACTACAACTTCAAAAAGATCACGGTGGTGCCGTCCGCCAAGGTAGGCGGCCCCGAGGGCCCTTCCGCCCACACTTTTCTCTGCCGGGTCATGGGAATCGAGGGTCCGGTTTGTAACGCTGGGCTGAGAGGGGTCGCCTCCTCCACCAGGCCCCCGTCTTAGACCATGTTCTCTACAGATTAGGGCCCCCGGGTTAGGGGTCTCCCGAGAGGGTGGCGGCCCTTCCTCAGAAATCAGGGCTGCCCGGGGTTAGGGTCCCTCTTCAGATGTTGGGGTCCTCCCCAGAGAAGAGGGGGAGAGTCAGGGCAAACTTTACGAAGTAGGTAGGTTTTGAACTGTCTCCAAAGGGTTCGTGGATTCTGCCAGATGGAAGAGGGGTCGCGGTCAGAGGCGAGACCGCGGCGTCCCTCCCGGAGCTAACAGTGTTGCCGGCATCTGTCTTCTTGGCTAGTTTGCACTGGGGAATTCATGCAGAAGTCTTTTATATCCTCTGGTAGTCACCTTACATGCCTTAGTCACCTTACCTTAGGAAATTGTATATAGTGGGTTTTAGTTTTATATGTTACTTTATGTACTTTCAAAGCCACAGATACGCAAACTGAAACAGTAGAACTGTTTCTCATTAAAAATTTTTTTTTTCTAATTTATGCTTGAGTTGTCTGGCTACTTACGTTTCAGAGGTTCTTAGGTATTTAGAAATTAGGATAACGTGAAGAAAGCGTAGGATAAAATTTATTTCTGCAGCCATTTGCTGAGTGTTTCTTAAAGGCCAGGAACTATAAAGTTGAGCACGTTTTATAGTGAAGATTTAATTAGAAAATGTGTTTGTAGTTTAAAATATATCGTATTGTTAAATATTAGTCTTTTAAGATGGTTTCAAATAAGTGGGTGAAAGTAGATGTTTTTGGTGTAACTGTGTCTTACTTTATTTAATTGCAGGACTTTATTGATTTAACATTGTCGAAGACTCAACGAAAGACTCCAACAGTTATCCATAAACATTATCAAATCCATCGCATTAGACACTTTTATATGAGGAAAGTTAAATTTACTCAGCAGAATTACCATGACAGACTCTCACAGATTCTGACGGATTTCCCCAAATTGGATGTAAGTGATTCTGGGAAACATAAGTGGTTATGTAAATATGAGCCTTCAGACAGGGTTAAACAAGGTCTGTCTAGAGATAATGAAGGAAAGAGGAAATAATTGACTTGTTGAAGTTTACTCTGAGAGTTAGTGGCAAAACTGGGAACAGAGTACAGGTGTTTTGATTCCTTAGTATCTTTTTTCCCCCGGTCAAAGTCCATCTACGAGGGCCCAGAGCATGCCTCGCTCGGGCTTTTTCTGTAACCTCTAGACTTGTAGGGGCCAACCCGAGCTCTGAAAGCTGTGGACTGAATTCAGGAGCCCGAGCTTCTGGCGGCTTGTGTGCTTCCTCTCCTCCCTCTTTCCAAGGCTCCCTTTCCTGTGGCCTCAAGTTGGGCCAGTGGCTTGAGGCCCAGCAGTGTTTGTGATGTTGTTGCTTCATCAGCTAACGACTGTCTATGTACTTTCTTCACGGGCAAGAAACAGTCTCGTGGGGAGCCGCCTTCTACATTGAGCCCCCAAAGTTGAGCTCTGTTGCGTAGAGCAGTTTGCTTGTGTGTTTGGCTGTAGGATGCAAGAGAGGACACTGCCTGTGGTGTCCCTGTGTGGGGCGACGCTGCTGCAGGGTTGTTGAGGAGGTGATGGATGTGGGATCAGCAGTACAGCCTGAGAGCCTAAATGTGCCACTGCCCTACAACAGTCCCTGAAGGTGGGTTAAGGCAGTGAGAAGAGATTGATTTATGTGACAGAAATTGCTGTTACAAAATTCTGGGACTTGATAGGTGCACAGTGACTACTGGCTGGATGAGGGTGTAGTTTCTTGGGAAAGTGTGTGTACTTCAGGAAGTACCTGGGGATAAAGAAGGCAGTAAGAATGAGATGAAGACACCAGGAAACACCTGATGTGAGCAAACAGAAAATACTTTGATCTAATCAACACCAGAATTTTGTTCTTTGTAAAAAAAAATTTATCTTTTTTATCCTTGGTATCTTTTTTTTTTTAATATACATTAGGGGTTCAAATTTATGAACATTCTATTCCTGTTGGCTTTTATTTTTCAAACTAAAGTTATCTGAGAACAATTTTCGAGTAAAAGGTTGGAGTAGATTATCATTCATTAAACGATTGCTGTGTCTGTTCAGCCGTCACTTTTAAAGCCCCTATCTTGTCTAGTGGGGGAGAAGTGATAATAAACATGAAAACATGTGTGTCATATGGGTATGGAGAAGAGGGAGGGCCACTAGCTGAGCCCTGAAGGAAGCGAGAGCTGTGCGCTACCTGGGGAATGAGCACTGAGGCACAGAAACAGCAAGTGCAAAGGCCCCGGGCTCCAGAGTCTGGTGTCTTCAAGGAACAGGAAGGTCCAGGAGGCGGGTCGGAGGGGGTGTGGGTGGGGCGAGGCGACTTGTGTAGCGGCCTTTGCAGTGGAGCCTGGGACCAGTCTCCCTGGCCTTGCTGTGACTGACTTTCGAAGGAGGACTGGTCTGTGGGGATGAGAGCCCTAGGTGGGGAGCACGGCCGCCAGGGCACTGGTGGCTCCAGAGCTGAGGAGCTGAGAAGCGTCTGCCAAGAAGAGGAGCAGAGATGGGCGGATTGTGGGCTCAAGGGAGTTTTAAAACTTTTAAAAAGTTTTGGGGCAATAATAGCATAAGGTTGATGGGACAGGGAAGAATTTCTCCAGCTCAGTTCTTGAGTGGTTAGGGGCGGGCTCTGGTGCTCAGATGGAGATGGGCCTGGCTGCCCTGCTGACTGCATTTTTCTCTGTGAACTAAACAGTCACTGAACAGGAGAGAGGACTGGGGAGAAGATCCTGGGGGGGTGAGGAAGAGTAAGAGGTGCGATGTGTTTCCCGAAGAAATTATTCTTCAAGTGTTATTCATATATTGGGAGGAGAAACTGCTGGAGCAAAATGACCACTTTGTTTTTCTTGTTACAGGATATTCATCCATTTTATGCTGATTTGATGAACATTCTGTATGACAAGGATCATTACAAGTTGGCTCTAGGACAAATAAATATCGCCAAAAATTTAGTGGACAAGTAAGGTATTTTCTTAATGTAGTATCTTTTAAGTTACTGTTAAAAGAGAGAAAACTCTTACACCTTTCTTTTTATGTCTTTCAGTGTTGCTAAAGATTACGTGCGGCTTATGAAATACGGTGATTCTCTCTACCGCTGCAAGCAGCTGAAACGTGCGGCCCTTGGGCGCATGTGTACTATTATCAGAAGACAGAAGCAGAGTTTGGAATATTTGGAACAAGGTACTTGTTATGCATCAGCAAAAACAGGTTTTAGTGCATTCTGTTAACGTACTTGATCCTTGTCAAGAAGTTATTTTTAAAATGTTTATTTTTGTTTTGTTTTAGAGATAAGAGGATCAAATTATTTTTCCCAGCCTAGCCTGTAAGAAATTCTAACAGGTTAGATATTACTGAAAAAGCAGCTAGCACTTAACATGCTTACACACTAGTAGCACTATTAAGAAAATTTATGTTTTTTAAGTTTAATAGGTAAGGCATGTACGTTATAAATCATGGGGAAGTAATAAAACATATAAAAATAAAGTGACCCATAGTTTTACCTGTTACTGACAATATGGTGCATTTCTTTGTAAAACGTGTTAGCATCAAACTGCTACTCCAGTTTTGTTACCTGGTAGTTTTTTTCAGTAGGATGATTTCTTAATTAATGTAGTAGGACTTTTTTTTTTTTTTTGCGGTACGCGGGCCTCTCACTGTTGTGGCCTCTCCCGTTGCGGAGCACAGGCTCCGGACGCGCAGGCTCAGTGGCCATGGCTCACGGGCCCAGCCGCTCCGCGGCATGTGGCATCTCCCCAGACCGGGGCACGAACCCGTGTTCCCTGCATCGGCAGGCGGACTCTCACACTGCGCCACCAGGGAAGCCTTGTAGTAGGACTTTTATTGAAACAATTTTTTGCCTTTTTGCATGCATATATTTTTACATTTCAAGTGTTTTTAACTGATTTGGTTTTGGACCCCCCCCCCCCCCCCCCCGCCTCTTGCTAATAATTTGTGACAAGATTGTAACACTGGGCTGCTTTAACAGTGCTTCCAGTGAGCCGTTAGGTCATCAGGGTGGCCCACTGGTGTCGCTGGAGCAGACGAGGCCCCTGTGGGTTTCTCATTACGTGAAAGTAGCCTGCTGCCCAGCCAGGAAGTGATGGCACACACACTCGCTTGAAAGTGCTCTTTCAAACATCTCTCATACTCATTTGTCTGGGTTGTGTGGTTTGGGCCCCATCTTGTACCTGTTGGATAGGAATCTATGCTGTCGGGCCTGGGAGCAGGATTCCTGGTACAGCCTGGATGCCCGGTGCCTCCGCAGCTGGTCCCTTCTCCGTTCATTCGTATTCTCTCAGTCACATACATGATAAATGTTGGAGTGAGGGTGATGTGACCACAGTCCTGGGGTGCACAGCTAAGTTGAGCAGATCTTCAGCTTTGAGTTTCTTAAGTTTTCTTATGAAATTAAGCACGTTTACTGTAAACTTCTCACAGTGCGTCAGCATCTGTCCCGTCTGCCGACCATTGACCCGAATACAAGGACCCTGCTTCTGTGTGGGTACCCGAATGTCGGCAAGTCCAGCTTCATCAATAAGGTTGGTCCGCCTGACGGCGCAGTGACCAAGGACCTGACTGCCTGGGGTGAGGCCGGCTGCAGTCAGTCCTCTAGTCGGCACTGCCCTGGGCCCAAAACATTCTTCCTCCCATCCTCGAGGATCGACCCTGAACCTGGATGGATATTGCAGTTATGGGGACCATTTTATTGTTGGGTTTTGTCTGTGTCCTACAAATTTCTAAGGGATTTGAGACGTTTGAATACGTTTCTGTTAACACATGGACATGCGTGTCCCGGGAACAGTAGTGCCAGGGAGTCACTGTTGACCGTGCAGACTGTGCCTGCTGAACTGGCCTTCCCAGGCTCCAGAGGTGTTTCTCAGGTGATGTCACCCGGGTTGCTGTGTCAACTTGCATGTAAACTATTTGGTTTGTGTAGTGGGAAGTGGTTGCCCTTTACTTAGTTTATTATCAGAGTTAAAGGAACTGTTTAAGTAACGCAGCACCTTAGCTGAGCTCAGGGACCTGAATGGAGTAGAAACTGTGTTTAAAGTGTCAGCTCACAACCAGCAACAGCCCAGGTGCCAAAAAAACAATGGTTACGTGTGTGGCTCTTTGCTACTAAGAACACTCCTGCAGATTTGTAGGTTTTTGTTTTGTCTACAAGTGGCACTGACACAGTGACAGCTGAGCTCTGCAGTGTCTCAGCTGACCTCTCCAGGGCTTGTGAGCCAGGCCTTGGGGGTTAGACGGGCCGCTTAATTAACTAACATTAAACAACAACAGAAAATTCAGTCCTCAGTCTCATGACCACATTTCAGGAGTTCAGGGACCCCGCGTGGCTTGCAGGCCGTTGTGAGGTGCAGGTGTAGAGCGTTCCCGTCATCACAGGAAGTTCTGTTGGGCGTCGCTGGGGCCAGGATGGGTGAGAGGAGGAGCTGGTTGGTGTCCTCCAGGTGCTGGGCCTTCCTTGCTCCCTGATGCCTGATTCATACACTGCCTCTGCAGCCCGGGTCCTGAAGAAGAGGATCCCGTCCGCCTGCTGAGGTGCTGACTCCTGTCAGAGTTGAATCCTGTGAGGTTGAATCTCGTGGGGCTTTTTTTGTTTTTTTCCTACCCCAGCAGTTAGTCTCGATAACACGTAGGTGCCGCGTTTACTCTGTTGCAGAGGATACGCAGTACAGGACTTGTGGTTTGTTCCAGGTGACGAGAGCAGATGTGGACGTCCAGCCCTATGCCTTTACCACCAAGTCTCTGTTTGTTGGGCACATGGATTACAAGTATCTGCGCTGGCAGGTGAGAGCTGTCTAAGCTGGGACAGTCGTGGCCTTGTTCCTGGAGTTTGATTCCGGGGATTCCCACAGACTAGTTAGTGTCTGCCCACGTCCCAGTGTATGCAGGGTCACAGGGAAGGCTGGGGGGTCACCGGGAACGTCCCCGTGGACAAGCTCCACCAAGCTCGGGGGACGCGGCAGCTCCCAGCAAGCCTTCTGCGCTTGGCAAATGGTGGTGCTTCTGATGGGCCGGTCATCAGAAACCATTTACAAGCGTGACGCAGCCTGTTTCCATAGTTGAATTTAGTGTTATGAGAGGTGATGTCATTCCTAGCATGTGGGAGCAGTTATCCCAGTGTTTCTATGTTGTCACTAATGGAAAGAGGGGTCCTTCTCAGGGTCGTTGGCAAGTTTGTTCTTCAATGAGCTCTGCAGCCCCCTCACCCGTTTTTCATACTTAATTTGTCCTTTTCCCCTGCTGCCTTGTTTGTTTACCGTGGTCAGTTGGGAGCCCTGCATTTTCTTTACCAGCTTTGTCAGAGCTGGTCTGGGTTTGTCAGCGCCCTCGGCCTGTGCTGGGCAAGCAGCTTGTGCAGACGTGGGCTCTGGAGTAACGAGTCTGACCTTAGGTGGTGGATACTCCGGGGATCCTGGACCACCCTCTGGAGGATCGCAACACCATTGAGATGCAAGCCATCACTGCACTGGCTCACCTGCGAGCCGCGGTTCTCTACGTGATGGATTTGTCTGAGCAGTGTGGGCACGGACTCGGGGAGCAGCTGGAGCTCTTCCAGAACATCAGGCCGCTCTTTGTCAACAAGGTGAGTGTGGGGACCAGTGTTTTAGTTTGTAACCTGCAGCGTGAAGGTAATAATTTCATTATTTTTCTTTCTTATTCTAGCCTCTTATCATTGTAGCAAACAAATGTGACGTGAAGAGAATAGCTGAACTTTCTGAGGATGATCAGGTAAATCACCTTGATGTTTTCAATATTTCCTACTAATTCTGAATCTCGTCTTACACAATCAGAGTTGAAAAGGAATGTTAGCGATGCTAGTCTGGTTTTTGTTTTGCAGCTGAGATAATGTCCTCACTGATTGAGTCGACGTGACCTTATGAAAGCCCGTTCATGGCAAACAGACCATGAGGTTTCCTGGTTCCTACTCTCTCAGAGGCTGTGGGGCGGGCTGTGCGTGTGGTCAGTACAGCAGCCTTCAGGAGACTGCTCGTTTGGAAGGGGCTGCCTCTCTTGTTGGGGCCTTAAAACGAGCAAAGCACCCCAAGGTTCGCCTCAGCTCCTTGGGCCTGGGCTGCTGGCTGCTCTGGAGCAGTACCTGCAGCGAAGTGTCTAGTGGGAGGCATTTCTCGGGTGTTACTGGAGTACCTGCTTCACAGATTCTGTGGGGAGATGTTGGGGACTGAGTGAGTGAGGGAAAAGGAGTGTCTGCAGACCTTCCAGAACCGTGACCCTGTCGTGTCTGCTGTAATTTTCCAGGTGGCAGGTAACGTCGTTAGCCTTAGGTTTTCAAGCTGTTTGACCCTGTGTCCGTCCCCAGGAGGCATCTCTCAGGACAAATGCTTCGAGAAGCTCTGCGCTGGTCCAGTGGTTCTGTCTCGTGGCCCCACCAGCAGTGTTGGCGTTGCTTTTCGGTGGTAATGTGTCGTAAGTCAGGGCACACCCCGGGCCTCCGCAGTCAGACTCTGGGAGGCCCAGCAGCCCACTTTGCAAGGCCCCGTTTGGTGTGAGAGGCGCTGCGCTTGTCTGGCCTGAGCAGAGGGTCTCTAGGGGGGCTGTGCTCTTGTCTCTGGCTCTCTCTGGTGCTGTTTGAACAGCTTAATCCTTGGTGAGAACGTGGTGTGTTTAAACAGCCATTCTGGTGTCCCTGGGCACTGCCGTGTACTCTACGTTACTGATGATGTAAACGCTGATGTCAGAGAATTCTCTTTTCTTTGAAAGGGTCAGATACTTACTCGGTGATCTCAGTTTTTCAGGCTAAGAGCACTGGAGTGTGGAGGGGAGGGCAGGTCAGGAGTGATCCTTGTGCCGGAAGCTCAGCCCTTGGGGTTAGACACGCCCAAGTCCTGCCCCCACTGCCAGCTATGATGGAGTTTCAGTGGTGGGAACAGTTGCATCACTGGGTTGGGAAGCAGGGTTGCGGGTGCTGTGAACGCTGGTCAGCGCCGCGTGGGGCCTGCTCTGGGTCGGTTGGTGACTGATGTCTCTGGAGCTGCAGTGCAGGTTTTGCCCCATCTCGCACAAGGCACGTGGCGGCAGGTGCGGTGTCTTATGCGGGTCATGCTGGTAGGTGGTATGACTGGTCTTTCCAGGGAGTGGGGGGAGCAGAACTCATTCCTGAGAAGCTTGACTGTTGTGAATTGGCCACCTGTGTCTGAGCGTTGTCACATGGTCAGGCTGGCAGCAAGGTGTCGGGTGGCGTTGGTGGAGGCGCAAATGAAGTCCCTTGTCCTGGGGTCTTGGTGGTTCGTTCATAGCTGGATTCGTACACGTTGCTGTATCGTTTTCTAAGGAATTATCTTAGGCTGTGGAGGCCAGGTATTTTATAAAAAACAGCATTGAGAATATTCTCTATGAAAATCGGTATCTTAATTTTCTCAAGGTTCTCTTCAGAAGGGTAAGTCTCACAGAATGTTCCAGAGAGCCTCTGGTTTGCTTGCTGTAGTTTGATTTGATCCTCCCCGTAATGTATATTTTCTTTTCTTTTTTAAAAAAAATTAATTTATTTTTGGCTGCGTTGGGTCTTCATTGCTGCGCGCGGGCTCTCTCTAGTTGCGGTGAGTCGGGGCTATTCTTCATTGCGGTGCACGGACTTCCCCATTGCAGTGGCTTCTCTTGTTGCGGAGCATGGGCTCTAGGTGCGCAGGCTTCAGTAGTTGTGGCACACGGGATCAGTAGTTATGGCTCGCGGGCACTAGAGCACAGGCTCAGTAGTTGTGACCCACGGGCTTAGTTGCTCCGCGGCATGTGGGATCTTCCCGGACCAGGGCTCGAACCCGTGTCCCCTGCATTGGCAGGCGGATTCTTAACCACTGTGCCACCAGGGAAGCACCTGTATTTTCTTAATCACAGCTGAATTTAGGGAAAAATAAATAACTGTTTTGGGGAGATGTCCTTCAAAAGAATTAAAAAACCACAGATGTGTTAATTATAATTAGCATTTATAGCACCCATTTGAGGAGAAGTAAGATTTGTTCATGGGGAACTGGGGATAAACACAGCTCTCATTTGTCCTTTGTATTCCCAGAAAATATTTCTAGATCTGCAGGCTGAAGGGTTTTCTGTTGTGGAGACCAGCACCCTGACGGAGGAAGGGGTTATTAAAGTGAAGACAGAGGTCAGTGCTTCCTCACAAGCAGGGTTGATCCCTTTCCTCGACAGGAATGTTTCTCTCTGAGTGTTAACAACCCTGAGTGCTAGTAGCTCCGCCTGAGAGATGAATCCCGGGGCCCCCACCCGCCCAGTGAACATGTGAAGAGATGCTCACACTCCCAGCACAGGTCATTTTCACTTAGTCCTGCTGCCTCAGGGTTCTTCCTTGGGCTGGGCCTGACCCTGACCCGGGAAGGAAGAGAGAGGTCCCCTCCGCACCCGGCCCACCCTCTCCCGTCCCGGAGCGTGAGGTCTGCCTCAGGGCAGTTACTTGGACCTTGGGGGTCCCAGCACTCAGCCATCAGATGCTACCTCTGAGGGAAAAGCGTAGCAGGTTCCAAACCTGGGGACCGTCCTCTGGTTATGGGGTCTCTGGTTCCTGGTTCCTTCCAGAAGGCAACATGAGGCTCTGCCGGGTGCCCTGTGACCTGGTGCCACGTTTTCTCACCTTAGGCTTGTGACAGGCTTTTGGCTCATCGAGTTGAAACCAAAATGAAAGGAAATAAAGTGAACGAGGTGCTGAACAGACTGCATTTGGCTGTTCCCAGCAGAAGAGATGACAAGGTAAAGCCGCCTGTGGAGGCCCTTGAGGCAGGGGGTTGCAATGGCTGGTGGGGACCCACGCGCCTGCCTCCCCGGTAGTGGATTTCCCGGGTGTTCTCGCATCTTTCTCAGAATGAAAGTTATGCCATGTATGTCAGGAAGAATCGAAGCGGTGAGAGGAAGAGTATGAAGAGCCGGGTTAAACCTGCTCCCCCACCAGAGGCTATTACTGTAACTCTCAGCTTGTCTATTTGTCCAGAAACATTTTGGCATATAAGCTTCTTTTAAAACACAGGAATATATTTTCTTTCAAGTTTTTCATTTTCTTGCTATTAAAAACTAGTGCTCAAGGGTACGTTTTCATACATAGGTCTCTGTTTTTAATTGCAAATATATCTGTAGACTGAATTTTAAGGCATGGCATCGAAAATGTCATTGTCCTCCAACAATGCCTTGCAGGTTTATACTTCTGAAGGTTTGAGAATGCACACTTCCTGTTGTGTCAGTGTGACGGACTAAAGATGCTTCCATTGTTGCGATGTGTTTCTTTTTTCTTTTTTTGCTGTGCTGCACAGCTTGTGGGATCTCAGTTCCCCGACCGGCGATTGAGCCCAGGACCATGTCAGTGAAAGCCCAGAATCCTAACCACTAGGCCACCTGGGAATTCCCCCTTTTTATTTATTTTAATGTTTCTTATGTATTTATTCATTCAACGCTAATTTTTGGCAGCTAGTCTAGGCATTAACAATACAGGTAAAGATCACTGTCAGTGACGTTGTTAATGATTTTTATCATATTTGTTCTCAAAAAGTTACACCAGTTTTCAGTTTTTTTCATTACCACACTTTTTTTCCCCAAAATAAAGTGGAAATTACATTATAAGAAGTGATATTTCTACACTGTAGTTTCAGGCAGTCACACTCAGTGATTATTCAACATGATTGTTTTCAGTTAGTGAACATCACGTGGAACAGGATATATATCTTGGTGTTGACATACTTGCTTTTTCACTTCTTTAGGTTATTTCTTACTGATTTGTAATTTATATATTAAGGAAATCAGACTCTTGTATGTTCTGTAGATTTGTTTTCTTTTTGTCAAAGGTATTTTTTATTCTGTATTCTGATGGTTCAATTTTTAAAATTTTACCTTTTTTTTTAATAGAAGTCTTCATTTAGTTGTGATTTTATCTTGTTCATGGGAAGCAGGTGGTGGTCTTCACCCAGCTCATCGTTTATCTCAGGACTGATGGCTGGATGGTGTGTCTTCCCATCGTATTCCCTTCTGTGCTTGGGCTTATGTCTGAATTTCTCCTGTTCATTGATCTGCTTTATTTCTCCTGTACTGCTTTCTTCATCCATAATTTTTCTTGATTCTCTTACTGTTTGTTTTTTCTAAATAAACTTTAGAATCGGCTTTCGGAGCCTTCCCAGCTTCCTTGCCCAGACTGGCCTTGCACCTTCCCGTCTCCCTCAGATCATCTTGGTTTTTAGTTGGTCTGGGTGTGGTTTGTGTTTCCCTTGCAGATGGAGAATTTGCTTGTGGTTTTTCATCTTTGTGTTTTGATTTAGCAAGGCATTTCATGTAGGTATTTCCACTCATGTCTTCTCAGGAGCGGCCCCCATTCATCCCTGAAGGAGTCGTGGCACGCAGAAAGAGAATGGAGCTTGGGGAGCCGAAGAGGAGGCGGGTAAGTGACGGGAGCGCCCATGGGCCTGCGCTGAAGAGCGTGTGTGGGGCAGGGCTTTGGAGCATAAACCCCCTGGGGCCTGGACACCCTCCTGGGTGGAGGTGCCAGGTCCGCCAGTGGCAGAAACAGCTTTCCCACCAGAAATGGGTGCTGAGCCTCAGGTGCTGAAAGGATTGGCTCTTCGGTTGGAGGAGGGGTGATTCCACAGGGAAGGGAGGGGGCCCAGCAGTTCTGGATCTGAAGGTCAAATAGCGCTGATGAAAACTGTGTTTTCATTGCAGGAACGGGACATTGAGCTGGAAATGGGAGATGATTATATTCTGGATCTTCAAAGTAAGGGCTCAAATGTGATAGTTGTTTTCAGATGCCAGTTGTGTGAAAAATGTGAAAGTGCATTAATGGGTGCAAGTCTTCCAGCATTTTGTTAATTTAATTTCTTGAAGGTGAGAGGTTGCATACTGCCAGGACTCTGAGATTTCTTCCTTCCAGGTAGTTTTCTGTGAGTGATCATTTCTGTAGCTTACCTATCATATAAGTGTTGGACCAGGCTGATATTGTTGATAATCTGTTGTTCATGCCTTTGGACACTTGATCCTGAGGTACTGATGGGTCTTAGGATGTGCTTGGAGCAATCCTTTGGTCGAGCACGTTACCTTGCTTACCTAGTGTTGAACACAAGTGCTCTGTTGTCTTCACAGGTGTAGGACTTGTGTAAGTGGTGGCTCGTTTGGGGCACACAGTAGTTGATGTTAAAAACAACTATAAACTTTTTGTTCTTTGACCTTTAGAGTACTGGGATATAATGAATTCATCTGAGAAACATGATAAGATACCTGAGATCTGGGAAGGCCATAACATAGCCGACTATATTGATCCTGACATCATGCAGGTTTGTATCACTAGTTAAATCATGTGACTTTTATTCCTCTTTAACACGACCACCGAAAGACACGCACACAACTTTCCACTCACCTCTGTCCGTGGCCCTCGTTCCTTCTACGCCCACCAAGACCCCGGGGGCCCTGCCTCTTGGGGCCCTGCACACGCAGCACCGTGTCCCTGCATCGGGTGCTGGTGCAGACTCTCCCCCTTCCTCCTAGACCTCCCGCCCGAGCTCTTGTGCTGGTCTCAGGGGCGGCCTCACTTCATAAGGGAGTCCCCGGGGCGTGGACGCCCTCGTCGCCACCCCATGTGGGTCCCTCTGGCTGCAGGTGCTGCTCGCTCCCCGCCTGACCCCTTGTCTTCCCCAAGTTCTGCCCCGGCACACACAGCTGCCTCCTGTTTCAGTCCTCTCCTTGTTTGCTGTTTCTTAACATATGAGTGTCCATAGAAAACAAAAACTTCTTAGACCCTGTGTTCTCCTTTAGTTGCTATCCTTTCTCTCCTGAGTCAAGTGTTGTTTTTTTTTTAATGTGTTAAAGTGTACAGTTAAGTAGCATCTAGTACCTTTATGGTGTTGTGCAACCACCACCCCTGTGTAGTTGCAGAACCTTTTCATCATCCCCAAAGTAACTCGCAGTACTCGATAAGTAATCACTTCCTAGTCTCCCCTCCCCCTAGCCTCAGGCAACCACAAATCTCTTTTCCGTCTCTCTAGATTTGCCTGTTTTATATATTTTATATAAATGGAGTCTTACAATATGTTGATCTTATTCCACTTAGCATAATATTTTCAAGGTTCAGCCATGTTGTAGCGTGTGTCAGAGCTTTCATTCCTTTTTATTGCTTAGTGATATTTTATTGTATATGTGTAGCACATTTTGTTTATCCATTCATCCGTTGATGGACATAGGGTTGTTTCCACTGTTTGGGTATTGTGATTAGTGCTACTATGAACGTTGATGGATAAGTATTGAGTGCCTGTTTTCAACACTTTTGGGCAGATTCCTAGGAGTAGAGTTGCTGGGTCATAAGGTAATTTTATGTTTCACTTTTTGAGAAACTGCCAGCCAAGTTTTTAAAAAAATATTTTATAAATATTTGTAACATATGTTCCTTGTTTCCCTTGTTATTCACTCCTCAGTTCTCAAATGGCATCCTTAATTTATATTTCATGTCTTAATCTCTTCAGTTGTGCCTCTTGCTTTGTCTCTTACTCTGTGGCATCCTGTTTCTGTAGTCTGGGCTCAGATGGCCTGACTTGGCCTTCCCGTCCAACCTCCCTCCCTATGCCTTTTCACGCTAGTACTGATGGGGATACCTCTGACTCGGGTTCCTGTCAAGGTTTATTCATTATATGTATTTAAAATTTTTATTAACTGTATGGGCAACGAGCTTGTGTTTGGGATGGCTTTGGGATGGATACACGGGCTGTCGTGGTCCAAGGCCAGTTCAGATTGATGTTCTCTGTTCTTCAAGAATGGAGGGTCTTTCATGTACCTGCTGGGAGCGAGGGGAACATTTTACACTTTTTAACCTCAGAATTGGGAGTGGTTGTTTCTAAAGAAGGAAAAGAAGTGGCACAGAATAGTCGGTGGCTGGCGGCTTAGTCTTTGTGCTCATCTCCGCACGGAGCCTGTTTGTGGGGAGGTGAGCCCTGGCACAGAGGGCGAGGCCCACGTGAGTCTGGACCCGGGTGTTCATCATACCCCGAAAGGCTTAGGAGAAACCTGGTTTCTATAAAGATTGTTACACTTGTTTATGAGTTTTTCATTGTTGGCTTTGTTTAATTATGACTTTTTTAAAAGAAATTGGAAGAGTTGGAAAAAGAAGAAGAGCTAAGAACAGCTGCTGGAGTGTATGACAGTGAATCTGAAACTGAAGATGAAGAAATGGCGGAAATCCAACAGCTGGCAAAACAGATTAGGGAAAAAAAGAAGTTGAAGATTCTGCAGTCCAGAGAGAAGGACACACAGGGACCCAGGATGCCTCGGACAGCCAAGAAGGCAAGTGTCGTGTCATGTCCAAGAGCGTCACCTATTTCTTTGTGTATTGGAGTCTTGTATGGTCCATGCTAAACATGCTTCACTTTGTTTTGTTGGTATAAGTTGGCTTTTGAGGTTGAGTGAGTGTTGATCGTTCATATTCTGAGTATTATACCCCTTCTTGGTGACTTTCACTGTTGGATTCAACCCCTTTGTAGCTGTACAAATGGAGATTGTGAGATATGCATAAATTTGTAGAGGTAAAGTCGCCAATTAACACATTCTTATTCTTTAATTCTTTATTAGGAGTCATCTTTTACAATTTACAGAAAAACTAACCCAATCTAACTTAGGGCCAAAGGTGATTTAACTGGGCCCTGTGACTGGTTAGGACGGGGAAGTTGACACTGAGGCACAGGTGGATCAGATGGTGTCAGGGTCCTTCCAGTTCTCAGGTCCGTCTTCTTAGCCTCTTCCTCCTGCTCCGTGCTCTTGTCCAGAGGCACAGCTCCCCAGGGAAAGAGGATGGTGTGCAGGGCAGTTAGAGTGAGATGGGGCAGGAGGGAAAATGTCGGATGCTGGGCACCTCTCCATGGAGGATATTCATGTGTTCGAAATACTGTTTCTGTGTGGTGGCGAATGACTGTCTCTTGACAGACGTGGCCATCGCTGTATCCCCCCCATCGTGGGGCTCCGTGTGCTTGGGAGGAGATGCTGGCCTCTGGGGTCTGCATGTGGGAATCCCCGGGGAGCTGAGCGGAATCCAGGGGCAACACGTACGTCGTCCCGCTCAGAAAAATTGCCCAGGATATGTTAATTTTCATGTTATTTAATGAGTTGTACAAAAACATACACATGAGCCCAAGTAAAAGAATTTCTAAAATAAGTGTATCGTGGATCATTGTAAAAGGTACGGTTTCCCTTGAAATTTTTTTTTAAACATTTTATCAAGCTAATTTTGCTTAAAACAATGTCCATTTCCGCCTTCAGGTTCAGCGGAAGGTTTTGGAGGATGAGATGCGCAGTCTTGGTGTCGACATGGACAACAAAGACAACGTGAGTGCAGACGGCCTCAGAGCCATGGGTGGGGCAGCGCCGTCCTGGGAACCAGGGCAGGAGTGGGTTACAGAGGAGTTAGCACTTCTGGGGTTTGTGCTGAGAATTATGTTGTTTTGTGCAGTTTTTAGTACTTGAGCTGCAACTTTGATTTTGGTGACTGATGTCTTCACATAGAGCTTCAGTTTAGACACCAGGTAAACGTGAGGTGGTCTGGAGTTTCTTGGCATGAGAGTTACGTAGGCTGTAAATAGCTCAAAGCTGTTCCTCGGAGCCCAGAGGTTAGAAGGCATTTCAGATACCTTTTTCAGGATCCCAATTTTTCTTGCTTGATGAATTACTCTGGAGAATGCACATCTTTGTGTGAAAGAACGTCTTCATGTTCTGGATTGTTTTCTCAAAACAGAGTCCAAGAAGTGGAATTTCCGAAACAAAGGATGACATTGTGTTAGACTAATTCAGATTTTGATCAGCAATGCGTGAGCGTATCCTGCTCACATGGGGTGTTATTTTCATGTTCACATATGGCTTCTGACTTTGGATTGTTTATCAGGTGCTCGGCTCTAGGGTGCCTGCCTCTCACATCATTGTGTCATCTTATTTCAAAACAGTAACATGAGGGGGCGCCACGGGCCGGGTGCCAAGCTGCTGGCTTGCAGAGCTGGATCTCAGCACCCACAAGGCTGAGCTTTCAGGCGGCCGTCACTGTGTTGAGGCGGATGATCCTGGAAGCGGGGCATGAAGGAGAGACAGCTCTTTACATAAACTGTGCTGCTAATGTGGCTGAACAGGCAGCTCTAAGTAAAGTTTTTTAAATGGAGTTAAAATCAGCTCTGTAACTTAAAGCAGCTGTGGAAGTGAAAAAGAATATTTGGGACTTCCCTGGTGGCGCAGTGGTGAAGAATCCACCTGCCAATGCAGGGGACACAGGTTCGAGCCCTGGTCCAGGAAGATCCCACATGCCGCGGAGCAACTAAGCCCGTGCGCCGCAACTACTGAGCCTGTGCTCTAGAGCCCGCGTGCCACAACTACTGACCCTACGTGTCACAACTACTGACCCTGCGTGCCACAAGTACTGAAGCCCACACGCCCAGAGCCCGTGCTCCGCAACAAGAGAAGCCACCGTAATGAAAAGCCCATGCACCACAATGAAGAGTAGCCCCGCTCACGGCAACTAGAGAAAGCCCGTGCGCAGCAACAAAGACCCAATGCAACCAAAAAAAAAGAGTTTGACCAATAATTAATGTGAAGTTAACTATGTGTATTTTAAATGTATTTAACTTATTTGACGATGGTTCTAAAAACCCCTCCATGTGCCTTCCCCCCTCGTTGTAATAATTTCATGTTTGTCCCTAAGGCTGGGACCCTGAGGCACTGAAGTTTGCTTTCTGTGTGTTTCAGGCCCATTATGTGGTCCAGGCCAGAAGGGCTCGGAGCGTCACACGGAAAAGGAAGCGGGAAGACTCTGTCCCACCCACGTCTGTGGCCCGGATTCGCAGTTGCTCTCGGACCCCACGTGATGTCTCTGGTCTCCGGGATGTCAAGGTTAGTCCTTGTAAGGTGAAATTAATAAAATGGTAGCTTCTGTTGTTGATCGCATGAGGGTTCAGGGCACACACTTGAATCTGCAAGAACTGTGGGGTGGGGATGGGGGGAGTGGGCGTTGGCTGTGTGCTGTACCCCGAGAGACGGGCTTGGGCCTGGCACAGCCGGGTGTCCCTGGACCTTTGCCCTCAGTGCATGTGTTCCTTGTTGGGGTGGACAGAGCAGGGTGTGGTAATAGCACCACAGCCTGATCCTCTGTCCTCGCCGCTCAGGGCTGTGCCTGGAAGTGGTCCTGCTCAGAACCTGGACATGGGGCCTTCACCCACCACAGGCCCATGTGGGGAGCCAGCCCATAGAGAGCTGTTTGGGAGTCTTTTGGGAAAGACACTTTGGATGTATACCGTCTCTTTTGCTGAAACTTCTTTTTTTTAAATAAACACAAAAATGATTAGTTTTAGCATTTTGAAAATTCAGGTGAGAAAGTTTGTGTATAAACTTACAAGCAGTCTCCCTTTTGGGAGCCCGAGTTTCCCATTCCACCACACCGCCAGCATTGACACTTGTCAGTCAGATGGGAGTAGTTTCATGGGCCGGAATCTCAGTGTCCCCGTGTGTCTGAGAGGAAGTCCAGGTCTGAGTGTATCTGGTCCCTGTAGGTACGAGACTTGTCTGGGTAGTTTCCATCTTGGAGATACTGGCTGAGCTCCTGCAGGTCCTGTGGTGGATCCACGGGAACATGGTGTGAGTGAGACTCACCAGGGTTTCTCTTCACAGCACAGACCCGGACCATTCAGACAGTGTGTTAACAGGTAATGGAAGTTTGCTTGGAAATTGGATTTTCCACAGCTGACGTGTTTTTCTTCTCCTTTATAGATGGTGAAGAAAGCCAAGACCATGATGAAGAATGCTCAGAAGAAGATGAATCGCTTGGGGAGGAAAGGGGAGGCAGACAGACATGTGTTTGACATGAAACCCAAGCACCTGCTCTCGGGAAAGAGGAAAGCTGGTAAAAAGGACAGGAGATAGTGTCTATCGTAGCTGAAGCGCTTTGGCTCGACTTCTTCCTGGTTTGGTTTCACAGAATTGGAGTCGGACTTCTTCCTGGTTTGGTTTCACAGAATTGGAGTCGTGATCTGTAAACTGAACGTGACAATGGAATAACTCAAGCACTTGTTGTTTGGCTGAAAGCTGTGGTTACTCGATAACTGTCCAGGTGTGGGGGATTTTTATCGCTGCATAATATTACAGATATTTTGAGCAGGCAGTGGTTTCTCATTTATGGAGTTTTGGTTGCTTCAGACTTGCAGGGCTGGAAGGATATATTTATGTGACTACATTGTTTTTGATGGAGAAAAATCTTACTCTCTTGTGCAACAGGGAACTTTGGTTTCACTGCATGTGAAGAGTCCTTAGCTGGTGAAAGCTTACAGATGTCAGGATGCCAGGACTAAGTTATCTTCTAGTCCTTTTGTACGATGTACTGTCTTCAACTATTTTATCCAAAATAAACTTCAAAAGAAAGCAGTTTTATTTAGTTGGTTTTGTTTTTGTTTTTTTTAGTTACAAATCACCGTCAGTTTGGGCAGATGAAAAGGGAAGAGAAAGTAAATGGCAATTCTTTTTTGTTTTCAAAGCGCAAAATACTTTTTAGTGGAACAGAATGTTGCCTAAGTTACTACAGCAGTTAAATGTGGGCACCTGCTGCTGTGTCCACTGCTGAAAATTAAATTGTGAGGTACAGGCCCAGTAAAATGTAGGAAATTAACATTTTAGAATATTAAGTGATTAAAACGTCACTTCTCGACCACAAAACTGCCGTGGCCACCGCTTTATGTGCGGTTTCAAGCATCCCCTCTGCTGACTCGTGGCATGTGTGGGAGTTTTCCAGTGTCATGCAGTGTGATTCAAGGTGTGTTTGAAAGTTGCATTACATTTTGGGGATCCAAAGTAAAATTTTCATTTGTTTACTCTGAGAAAGATTATGTAAAGAGAAACCCATTGAGTGTCAGGTGAGAGGGAGTAGGAAGAACCAGAGTCCCTCTCCTCCCAGGTTACAGTGGCTCTGGCAGAATCTCTGCTGTAACTATTGAATATTTGGGACTCCAGAGTCTTTAAAGGCTCACCTCTTCCAGGGAAAGGCTCCACGGTAAACCAGTTTGTCAGTTTTAGCCCCTGTGGCTTAGCAACTGCCTGACCTCTCACCCAAACCCTGTGGCAGTCACTGTACCTGTGTTTCTGGAGGTGCTTGTGGGATTCAGATTGGGCCCTAAGGGCCTTGTTCTCCAAATATTAGGGTTTTGTTTTGATTGACAGTTGCTGCTTCTGATGGCAGAGGTGTAGACAGAGATGGATCCCCATCAGCTGAATTTGAAGGGTCAGTGCCTGTTTCTTTTTCCCTTGCATTTTTCATTTTTTACCCCTTTGGAGAGCTACAGATGTGAGGATTAGGACTTAAGAAAGCACTGCTGGCTCAGGGGAATTTAGAAAGTCAGCATGTCTGTGTCCAGGGAAAGACACACAGTCAGAGAGGAAGTGAGAGACATGAAGACCTCGGGTGGTACAGATAGCGAACAACTAAAAATTCACATACAAAGAAATAGGAAAGTGTGGTTCGTTAAAGGAAAAAACTGAGAAACTGTCCCTCAGGAAGACATGACAGACTTACTAGACACTGCCTTAAAGATGCTCAAGGAGCTAAAGGAAGACGTGGACAAAGTCAGAAAAAACAATGAACAAACCAGGAATACCAATAAAGAGAATAAAGTTTTATAGACGGCTCCCTCTGCTCTGTACCTGTTGTCAATGGTTTGTCCAGCATCTAACAGTCTAAGATGCCACGGCCCATGTGGCAACCACTAGCCACTGTAGCTACCCAGTAACTGGTTACATGTGTCTTTTAGCCTAAAAGTTCCTACTAAAGAACTAGAAACAATATAAAAATGCATTTTGAAACTTTATGTCATTTATCACTTAAGCTACCATAGGCAGGTTGACCTATTACTGTATTGAAGTTTTAACAAAGTAGACAACAGTATCAAAATGTGGTAATTTAGTTTTGTTTTTATTTTTCAATAAAATTACTATTAGCTACACAGTCTTGCCTGAAATTAATTGTTCAGGGTTAACAAATGGATTTTTCTATTGAATTTATAAAACATTTAGCTTTGTAAGAAATTTTTATTTTTCTTCATTACTTACTAATACACAGCATTCAAAGATAATAAAGCTGTCTTAAGATTTCAAATCTGAGAAGTCTATGGCAAGAGTTTAAAGAAGTACATTAGTCAAAGTGTACTTTAAATATTAATACACACATATTCCATAACCCAAATCTATTTAATATGAACGTTAGCCTTTCTTTTTGATAATTTCCCCCCTACAACACAGCCTGACTCAGCAGAACAGTGGTTCTCAACTGTGGGTGATGGTGTCCTTGAGGAGACATTTGGCATCTGGTGTCACTGGGGCTGTCATGGGGGGAGGGGTGCCAACAGCATTTTTTTATGTAGAACCTGGGGATGCTGCTAAATCCTACAACACAAAGGATGAGCCCCCAAAAGAATTATCCAACCCAAACATCAGCAGTGCCAAGGTTAGAATACCCTGTTGTAGAGTATGACCCAACTGACCCAAGTTCCATTTTACAAATAGCCTGTCTGTTCCCAGTAACTCTGAAAACCACAGCCTTTGCTAATCAGCAACGATTATTTAAATGAATTAACCTAGCCAATGTCATTACCAAAAACAATGTTTGACTTTAAGTATCAAAATACTTCAGAGTGATCAAAACACAAAATTAACAATGACAGAAATCAGGATATATACCATTGAATTCCCTTGAACCTGTTCTATATTAATCTCAATCTGAAAAGTTAATTTGAACTGTTTTGAAGTAGATAAGCAAATAGTTTCCATTGCACATTCTTCTGGACTATGATAAAAATTGAAAGATACATCAAGCACCTGGCAAACAGCAAAGTGCTCTACAAGTCTTCTGAAAAGGTTTATCACAATATATTAAAAAAATGAAGAACTTATTTGTTCAAATTTGTCGTAACCATCTGTTTAGATAGGTTAAGTTTATTTGCTCTTTTTTTATAATAATCTCATAAATATTTTTTACAAATTGCAGTTAACATATACGGGTTGTATGACACAAATCAAGAATTCTTTTCCACACGAATTCTGGTTGTAAAGTAACAGTATTTCCAATGAGAGTTCTAATGGAGAACCAGATTTTTAAAATATTCATCTTAAGTTTACTAAGTAGAGAAATTCTTTAGTACTTTAGTAATCATTCATCACCACATCTACATTCTGTGTATTTTCTCATGGTCAACAAACTGATTCAAATGATTTAAGTTATCCCACCACCTAAAGAGAAAAGTCTCTGCAATAATTTGAAACCACGGAGTTATCTTAATTTCACCATGGGCTGCCTTTTCCAGAAGTTCTTCTAGTTCTTCCTTTGATACATAACAATAGCTTTTAATCTCATTGGGATCTGGATTCAAGGTCACATTCTTCTTCACAAACAAAATGTAATCAATTTCATGTTCTCCCCAGATACCATCTGATTGAGCCTTGTAATGAATTCGTGTTAGATAATTAATTTCTTCTGGAGGAACCTAGGACAAAACCCCAAAAACCTCCAAAATATCAATAAAGTAATCGAAATCAACCCACTACATTTCAGTAATACCTTGAACAACAGAACTAGTGTTAGAATGACAACTTTTGAAACATTAGTGTCCTATTAATATATGGAAATAGTATTAAATAATATTAAATAGTTTCAAGTGTCTGACACTTTTCCCATAGGACCAAAAATAGAAGTAGATTTATTGAAAACTGTATTAAAAAAAGAAAAGCAGTCACTCTAACTAGAAGTGTGCCATTCTGCCTCACATATTAATATTAACGGGAGAAAAAACTTTACCATTTTAACTAAATGAGAGATTATTTATTCGTGTATTATTAAAAGGAGACAATTCCAGGGAAAAAAAGATTATTTAAATTCACCCAATCAGATCTGAGGTTCACAAGAAAATATTCATCTTTGATCTGATCAATTATAAAACAGTCAACTTTATAAACTGGTTAACAGATCAATCCATTTTGGTACTGAGGTAAATAACGACAAGTATTATGAAATCAAAATTTAACCTTTATCCAATGGGCTTTCTTGGCCTAAAAAAGCAAGAGATTACAAAGCAGAAAGCTACACCTAAATTTAATGTTTTACTAAAAACTGTTTCAAAGTATTCTATATTTCAGCTAGTATGGCTGCTTACCTCTTCCATGGGAATTCCCAATTCAGCCTTTAAACGCCTCTGTGCTGCTCGCCTTACTCCAATTGCATTGTTTTCTTCAAGCTCTCGTGGATTATTTAAGGGATGACTACAGCAAGTATTAGTAAAACAACCTGGAACATGTTAATATAGATGTACATTAACTTTTCTTCAAAGCAGGTCTGAAAGGTTAAGAAAACTTTAAATTTTAAAAGTAACATAAAAATGATTGTTGAGGATTTCTAGATCTGTTTTAATAAGCTATCAGCAACCATTTTGTGACACTTGGGTAGATAAGTTTTCATGAACGCCTTCTTAACCAAAGCGATGATAACGTGTATTAGATACAATTTAGAAAGTTATATATGAATCTACACATACCTAGCAGTTTTTATCCTTTATTAGGATAAACCTTAGGTCTTATTAGGTTGCAACCGCCGTATAAGTTTTTTGTATGAAGAATATAAAACTAAGTCATTCACAAGATTTCTTTTTTGACCTTGGCTACCAGAAGTTCCACGTGACAAAATCAAACTAAATACAATCGCCAACAAAACACTACACAAAGCACACTAACCTGGAAAGGTAATTTTAGCGTCTGATCTCTGCTGCAGCAGGAGCTTATTTTCAGTGTTGAATAAGAAAACACTAAAAGCTCGATGCAATAATCCTGAAAGCAAAAGAAATACGATGAATTGAGTTTTAAGAGGCCAGTTACTTGCCTGTTGCTTTGGGGTCCGAAGGAAGCGGGGCTGCCGCCCGGGGACCCGGCCCGCCCGCCGCCCCCGCGGGCACCTCTCTCGATGTTCTCGTTCAGATGGCAGTTCTTCTTGGTCTCCGCCCCGATCCTCCGGTCGTTCTCGTCGATGAGTATGCACATCTCCGCCAAGAGCTGCACCTGCCGCTCGTCCAGCTCATCAGTGCTCACCTCGGGCATCGCGGCCCAGCCTGCGCGCCTACCCGGGGATCTGGCGGGGGAGGTGGGGACCCGGGGGTTGGAGGCTGAGCCCGCCGCCCCGCGCCCCTCCCTCCGCCCGCCCCGCCACCTACCCCGCGCCGTCCTCCCGGCCTGCGCCCACCCAGCCCGGCGGCGACCCCACGCGCTTCCCGCGCCGCATAGACCTCCGCCCTCTGGCTTCTCCCCAAAACAGTTAAGAGGAAAAAGCACCCTGAGCTCATAGGACGCGACTAACAGGCAGTGGGCCCGCCCCTCAGCGCCAAGCCCGACGCCGAGCCCGGGACTCCAGCCCGCCTCCCCTCAGAGACCCAGCCTCCTTACCTCACAAGCAGACAGACAGCGGGACGACACTCCGCAGCGCTCGTCTCCTGCAGGCCTAGCTCCCAAGCACAGGGCCCGCCCCCGGCCCGAGCCCGGCCTCCCAACGCCGCGCGCCCAATCGCCCGCGCCCGCGCCAGAGAGCGCCACATTGCCGCTGGCCAATGGCGCGCCGGCCGCGCCTCACGTCACGGTCGCGCGGTGGCGCCACTCCCGGAGCGCGAGGCGTCTCCTCCCAGGGCCATGAGCTGCAGAGCCGCCCCCAGGCCGAAGCACAGGTGCTTTCGGCGTCCTCCCTGTGCCGCTGAGTGGGCGCGGCTCCTCAACTGCGGAGCTACGTGACAGAGTGAGCTAGGAGAGAAGGGGCCTGGGAGAGCGGCCGCCCACCAGTCACGCCCTGGCCGAGCCAGCCAATCGAGGCGCCCGAGGCCCTGCGCTGGTGACGTGCTGATGTCAGGCGTCTCTGCACGCTCGGGCTCTGAGGCGTGGAGAGGCGCCTGCTCGCGGCAGTTCTGTGCACTAAATTGATATCGGTCGGTAAGCGTGAGCCGTTGCATCCGGAAGTGTAGCGACTTAAAATTGTGAATAAAAGGAATTAGAAAAAACTTGACCTCTACAATTCGGAGTTGCTGGGAAACCACAAGAAACTAAGGGAGAGAGAGAGAGAGAGAGAGAGAGAGAGAGAGAGAGAGAGAGAGAGGGAGACGCATGGCATAGATTCCCCATCACAGGTCTCGGAAGGAACCAACACTGACAGAAACAAAATGTAACACTGACACCTTGATCCTGGACCTCAAGCCTCCAGACCTGAGACAATAAATTTCTGTTGTTTAAGCCTAGTTTGTGTTATTCTGTTACAACAGCCCTATCAAAGGAATGCGCTGTGGAAAATGTGGACTTTGATGTGGACCTGGATTTTAATCCAATCTTTGCTCCATTGCATACTAGCTTTCTGACTTTTGACAAATAATTTTTTTTAACATCTTTATTGGAGTATAATTGCTTTACAATGGTGTGTTAGTTTCTGCCTTATAACAAAGTGTATCAGCTCTACATATACATATATCCCCATATCTCCTCCCTCTTGCATCTCCCTCACAGCCTCCCTATCCCACCACTCTAGGTGGTCGGTCACAAAGCACCGAGCTGATCTCCCTGTGCTATGCAGCTGCTTCCCACTAGCTATTTTACATTTGGCAGTGTATATATGTCCATGCCACTCTCTCACTTTATCCCAGCTTACCCTTCCCGCTCCCCGTGTCCTCAAGTCCATTCTGTACGTCTGTGTCTTTGTTCCTGTCCTGCCCCTAGGTTCTTCAGAACCTTTTTTTTTTTTTTTAGATTCCATATATATGTGTTAGCAAACAGTATTTGTTTTTCTCTTTTTGACTTCACTCTGTATGACAGACTCTAGGTCCATCCACCTCACTACAAATAACTCAATTTCGTTTCTTTTTATGGCTGAGTAATATTCCATTGTATATATGTGCTACATCTTCTTTATGCATTCATCTGTTGATGGACACTTAGGTTGCTTTTGACAAGTTTTTTTTTTTTTTTTTTTTTTTTTTCGCTGTACGCTGGCCTCTCACTGTTGTGGCCTCTCCCATCGCAGAGCACAGGCTCCGGACGCGCAGGCTCAGCGGCCATGGCTCACGGGCCTAGCCGCTCCGCGGTATGTGGGATCTTCCCGGACCGGGGCACGAACCCGTGTCCCCTGCATCGGCAGGCGGACTCTCAACCACTGCGCCACCAGGGAAGCCCTGACAAGTAATTTTAACATTCTTACCCTTAATCAGAATTCAATTTAGAATAATTTCTTTTTTTTAAATTGAAGTATAGTTGTGTTAATTTCTGGTGTAGAGCAAAGTGATTCAGTTATACATGTAGTTTTCCAATTCTTTTACAGTATAGGTTTACAAGATATTGAATATAGTTCCCTGTGCTTTACAGTAAATCCTTGTTATCTATTTATATATATTAGTGTGTATGTTAATCCCAACCTCCTAATTTATCTCTACCCCCCCACCTTTCCCCTTTGATAATCATGTTTGTTTTCTGTATTGGAGTCTATTCTGGTCTATAAATATGTTCATTTGTATCATACTTTAGATCCCACATATGATATATATTTTTATCTTTTTTCACTCAAAATGATAATCTCTAGGTGCATCCATGTTGCAAATGGCCTTATTTCATTCTTTTTTATGGCTGAGTAGTATTCCACTGTATTCATGTACATTTTCTTTATCCATTCATCTTGTCAATGGACTTTTAGGTTCATTCCATTTTTTTTTTCATTCCATGTTTTGACTCTTGTGAATAGTGCTGTTATGAACACAGGGGTGCATGTATCTTTTCAAATTAGAGTTTTGTCCGGATATATGCCCAAGAGTGGGATTGTAGGATCATACAGTAACTCGATTTTTCGTTTTTAAAGGAACCTCCATACTATTCTCCATAGTGGTTGTACCAATTTACATTCCCATCAACAGTACAAGAGGGTTCCCTTTTCTCCACACCCTTTCCAGCATCTGTTATTTGTAGATTTTTTGATGATGGCCATTCTGACCAGTGTGAGGTGATACCTCATTGCATTTTTGATTTATATTTCTCTAATAGAATAATTTTAAATTTATTGGGTTGTTTTGAGGATCAAAGTTACCAAAGCTGTGAACTGCCTGGCATGCAACAGGACCTCAGAGTGTTGACTCCTTTCCTGTCTTAGTTTTGTGACACTTTATGCAATCATTTTATTTACAGTGACTTTTATGGACTCCTAAGTATATCAGAGAAAATGTTACCCCAATTAACAATACCCTAAGTTTCATCCAAACTGTGGATGCTGTGCTGTAAAACAAAACCACATATTAGCATGTGAATCAGTTGCAGCCAATATTGTGGTTAATCAGGCATTGTATGTGCTCCCTCACCCAGCGGAATGCCTTGTGCATATTAGGTCTTTAATAGAATTTCTTGTTGAATGATAGCCACAACCTCCAAGTGTGACATCCTCAGTTCCCCTTATACAATTTTTTAAAAAATTTACTTATTTATGACTGCATTGGGTCTTCATTGCTGTGCAAAGGCTTTCTCTAGTTGTGGTGCTTGGGCTTCTCCTTGCAGTGGCTTCTCTTACTGCAGAGCACAGGCTCTAGGCCCGAGGGCTCAGTAGCTGTGGAACATGGGTTTGTCCCCGGCATTGGCAGGTAGATTCTTAACCACTGCAGCACCAGGGAAGTCCCACACCTTATATAATTGATTTTAGTAATAAGCTTTATTATACTCAATGCTGAAGTAACTTCAGGTTTTATTCTACAAACTTTTTGGTTATTTGGATCCCCAAATACGTCACGTTTGTTCCTTGTGCAGCAATCATACTAGCGCTTCTTGACTCCAAATGATGACCTTTACTGTTTAAAAGAAAAATGCTCCCACGTCTGATTTCGTTTTTACTTAAGGCTTTAAACGCCCAGCTGGTTGTTCGTAGAGCCGAGGCCTTCTGCGCACCCTGTAATTTTTCCAACCTGGACAAGGACAAGAAGGCCATCAGGTCCCACCTTCCGCGGCGAGAGGCTGCCTTTGTTTCCTCTCTGCAGCCAATGGCTAACACACATTTCAGACAGGAGGCTGCAGTGGGTGAGTCACCCTCCGCAGATCCGCCAGGCTCCGCGCGCAGCCGCCTCGCTCCCGACGCCCCGGGAAACGGCTCCCGGCACACCCGGCGGTTCTGACTGGGAGCAGCCGTTCCCACATGCCCGACCTGGGTCCCGATGGACGCCGACCTGCGCCAGACCCGGGCGCCCGCAGTAACCCGCCGCCGTGAGTACCCGCGGGCCCTCAGCGCCCCCGCCCCACCTCCCGGCCCTTCGCGGCGTCTCCAGATGGTCGCCGACCTCGCGGGTCGAGGCCCCGGCGGTCTCGGGGTCGAACAACAACACCACGGCTCCACCACCTCCGCGACCCCCTTAGGGCCCCCTGACCGCACTGGCGGCGCACGGGCCTTCCTTCGCGGGGCTGGATTTCCGGCGGTACTAGCTTGGGGCGGAGGCGGGATTTCCTGCGGCGCCTGCGTGTAGTGGATTTCCGGCGCGGGGCTGAGGGAGAGCCGCGACTTCCGGCGCCGGAAGTGTGGGGCGTCGGGCTGCCGGGTCTTAGAGCTGTTCGTCCGCGTCCGTCCCCGGCGCCGCGTGGCTGGGAACCCACGGGCGGCAGCGCACGGCCCGGCTGGCACTGCGCGGTGGCGGGTTCGGCGGCGGCGTGACAGGTGAGTGCCGGCCTGCCATCTTCAGCCCGGGACGGGCCGCCTCTCTGTGTGTGGCAGCGGCCTCGCGCCGGGCGGGGCGTGCCTGTGGGGGCCGGCGGCCTAGTGCCCTCGGACCCCGCGCCCTCGGACCCCGACCGCGCGCCCCCGAACCTGGACCGCGTCTCCCCCGAACCCGCGCCCCGACCTGGACCGCGTCCCCCTCCGACCCTGAGCCCGGCCGGGTCTTGACGTGGTTGGAACGCGCGCCCCTCGCCCAGAGCGGCCTGTGAGGCGGGTCCTTCGAGGCGCCCGGGAGTCTCCCGCCCGCAAGCGCTCAGGAGCCCGGGAGCCGTGGGCCCCTTAGCGGGTGTGGGGCCGCGGGAGGGGCGCCGCGACCTTGAGCAGGAGTTGCCGCGGGTCCGTGTCCAGCCTCGCGTCCTGCAGAGTGCTCGCACGGAGGCATCGGCGAGTGTCCTTTCTCCTCAGAGCTTTGGACAGCCGCGCGCACCTGTTGTGCCCTGGCCTTGAGCTGACACCCCAGCCCCTTCCCCCAGGGGTACCGACAGCCCTCTGAATTCCCTAGTCCTGGTTTTACTAAGAAGATTTAGCAATTACGTATTTCGTCCGCGGTTCGAGGACCTTAACAATTAAGGTCTTTAAACAGTCTTGGTTGTTTTCCGGTTATCATGCCCCCAGTCCCGTCTCACGACCAGAGCTGGTGAGCGTGTGTTTCGTGCCTTCGACTGGGTCAACGATAGGACACCTTACCCGGGTTGACCGAGGGTGGACTGCGGGGCTGCCTCTGGTTGATGTCGCTCAGCAGTTGAGTTTGGTGTTTGCACAATGAAATGCTATGGAAAACTCTACCGACCTTTTTGTGGAAGTCCAGTCACGTTTTGTATCTTTAAGTGCCACATGCAAATTATATCCTTTAACCATTTTGTACACATGATTAACGTTCATGACGTTTACTATTCAGGCAGGTGTTTTTCTCTTGCTAAAAGAAAAGTGTTTAAAAATTCCACTGGATATGGAATTGTGAGTAATGTTTTGTAGGTGGGGGTAATAGGCATGTGGCAGTATATAGCAAGGATAAATGAGTTGGACAGAAGGAGAGTTTATATTAAATTCATTTGTTTGACCGATAGGATAGGGAGGTGGGATTTTTGGAGGGGACTATTTATACTTTTTTGAATGTGTTTAAAGAACCAGTAGGACCTTTTAGTCACATAAACCTTCTGTTTAAAGTGGTCATATGCCCTGTGATACAGGGTTAGTATGACTGTTTTGAAGAAAGATGGTTATCTTGGAATTTCGGGCTTCTGTTTTAGTTTGTATTGAGGTGAAACAGTGCATAGTGGTTAAAGCAGCTTACTCACCTGTGTGAAGAAGTTTTCTTTTTACAGCTCCATGGCCAATTGACTAAGTGTTAGTCTGTTAGGTACTTGGGAACTGTACCTCACAGAGGTGTTGTGAGTATTAGTGACTCTGTAGTTACTGATCCATTTGAGCCTCACCACAGACTTCCCAACCCATCAGTATCTCTCCATCATTTCTTTTGTCTGTATTTCCCTTCTTGTCTAGCTTAGGTTCCACGCTACATCATTTCAGTATTCTTTTTACAAACACCTGCAACCTGCTCCATTCTCCATGATGTCATCCTGCAAAACCCCTCAACGTGTTATTTAAATAAGATTTAAATATGCTATTATAAAGATTATAAAGATTATAAAGATTATAAATATGCTATTAAATCTTATTTAAATGCTATTTAAATAAGATTTATGCTAAATAAGATTTATGCTAACACTGACCCGTGGACTGAGGTGAACACGATAGATACGTCCCTTCCTGGGCTAAGGGCTTGTTCTCCACCAGGGTGAGCTGTGGAAGGAAGGAAGGAAGTGGTGGTGGGACCAGTGAAGACTGTGGGGAACAAGATGGAGGATGTGAATGAAGAGGCAAGAGTAAAATTTTTAAAAAGTTTCAGGAAAAAGATTGTGATAGATTAACAAAAAAAAGAAGAAATTTAAAAGAGGTTAGAAGAACTAGAGAAACCTACAGATCTAATTTTGGAAGAATTAGAAATTAGGTAAAGTTTAGCTGAAGAAATTACAGGAAGAGACAGAAATTGAATTAGCCAGATAATCTTTTTTTTTTGTTTTTTTTTTGCGGTACGCGGGCCTCTCACTGTTGTGGCCTCTCCTGTTGCGGAGCACAGGCTCCGGACGCGCAGGCTCAGCGGCCATAGCTCACGGGCCTAGCCCCTCCGCGGCATGTGGGATCTTCCCGGACCGGGGCACGAACCTGTGTCCCCTGCATCGGCAGGCGGACTCTCAACCACTGCGCCACCAGGGAAGCCCAGCCAGATAATCTTTGAATGTTAATAACACAGTGTGTGGCATAGGCATTATGAACCCATATTGACATATGACTTCACAGTTTAGAAAGTTACTAAGAGAGAAAATCAGTATAAAAAAATCATTTGAGGCCAGGTTTTGGGGAACCAAAACCTCTTCCAGATTTATAATTGTTTGAAATGTATGTGTTTGGTTGGAAATTGATCAATGGGAAAAGATGACCAGTGTATTGACTATTTTGTGAAGTGACCAACAAAAGCAGGCAAAGCCCAGAACAACACCATGTGGTTCATGGGGTTGAGGGAGGAGTTAAAGGCTTAGGGACAGGCAGAAGGTGAGGATTTTAAGTTAGTTGTGAAGAAGACTGCTTATTTCCTACTGAAGATACAGAGGCTGGAAATGCCGGTGATGTGATACTTAAGGGAAACAATTGTTGAGGTGAAAGGAGGGTTGATACTGCAATTTTCACGGTTCCTATCACCAATTTGTAGAATCTTGGGAATGCATTAACTTCCCAGTTTATGCTTACCAGATGCATAAACTTTCTACTGATGAAGTTCTTAAGGGAGGAAAGAGAAGCTCTTTGCTTCTTTATTTGCTTGATTGAAATGTCTAAAGGTAGTCTCCTTTTTTCTTGAGCTTTCACGGGGTGTAAATATGTTTGTTCCTTGATTGAAATGTCTAAAGATAGTCTCCTTTTTTCTTGAGCTTTCACAGGGTGTTAATATGTTTGTTCCTATAAAAAACATAACTTATAAACTGCGAAGTGACTATGATAAATCTCTGTGTTGAAAATCTTGACAACTGAGATGCTTTATGAAGTTAGTAATTTAATATGTATAATCACTGAAAAAGAGAATTATATCGACCTTTTTTTTTATGAAGAATATAATTTCTGGATAAGATTCCTTTAAATCAGTTTGATTTCTTGGTCAACTTTTGTGTATGGCGCACTTAAATAGTCTCTAAATGTTTCCCTTAAAAAATTACTGGAATATTCTTCACTGGGATCATAGGAGTTGCTTAATAACGTAAATTTGTTATTTGAAATAATAATATTCAAATATTTAAAATTAAATATCAGTATCTTTTTTTGTGTATATTAAATTCTACCAACCACAGATTCTACCATTGTGAGTTTTTCTTTATACCTTTGTTTCAACTATCTCTAATTTCTATAGCTCAGATTTTTCAGATAAATTTCATGAAAAAGATTCGTTGTCATTTTGTTGTGTCAAAAATTAATCGAAATTAATTTTTCCATATATCATGTAAGGGACTGATAGTTTTATTTTTTGTTGTCTGTATCTACCAGTAATATAACCTTTTTTTTCCCTTCTTGTGAAGAAGCGTAATAATGGTAAGGCATTGGACCTGGAGGCATGATGGAGTCAAACTGACCATCTTTACCGTCTGTGTAGACCTCTCCCAGATTTATACATGCTGCCTAGTTCTCTTTTCATCTCTAGACCCGTACACCTCCTGCTTCCTTGTATGTTAGATATTCAAAGACATTGCCAAAACATAATATATTCAGTATTAGGTCTTGGTTTCTTCTCCATATCTGCTGCCTCATCTCAGTAATCTGATCTCCGTTTCACCTACCTCTTGCCTCAGAAACAAGGGCTATCCTTGATACCTCTCTCTTCCCACCCCCAGCACCCCCCCATCCAGCCCATTCATCTACCTCTAATCTTAACTATCATCATTTATTGCCTAGACTGTTTCAGTAACTTCCTAACTGGCTTCATTCATGGTCATCTTATCTTTCCATGTATTTTTCACATAGCAGCCAATCTAGTGTTGCTTATTTGCTTAAAAACTTTTAAGTAACTTCCTTTTTATTTTACAATAAACTGTAAACACGAAAGAACAGACTCTAAGCCTGTCTCTCCAATCTTGCACCATTCTCTCCATTGTTTGCTGTGTTGTAGCTATAGTATTTATTTTTTAATATCTCTGATAAACTAGTCTCGTTCCTGGCTCAGGACATTTGCACATGCTGTTCCTGTCCTTAAAATATTTACTCCCTTTTCTGTTTTCCACATGGTTAACTCTTAGGAATTCTTCAGTCTTGATTTAGATGCCAGTTTGTCAGAATGACCTTTGTAACTCTTTAGCTAATAGCTGGCCTCATAATATTTGCATATGTCTTTTGAAGCACTCATCACAATTTATAGCTTCTGTAATAAGTTATGAGATTGTGTGTTTAATGTCTGTCTTCCACCTCAACTCTAAGCAACCTGAGGGTAGGGGCCAAGCCTGTTCTTTCACCACAACATTCCCAGTACCTAGCTCATCTACAGATGAGAGCACTATTGATGAGTGACTTAATGAAATAATGCTGTTATTATCCCTGCTTTAAAGATGACACAGTTAAGCCTTAGGAAGGTGGTTAAGTAACTAGACCAAGGTT